TCGACTTCCAATGCTATGCCCCCAACTTTAAGCCAACAATTGCTGCTTCATATTCGGCTTTGTTGTTCGAAGCTTTTAACGAGAATTTTAATGCATATTCAAAGGATTTGCCTTCGGGAGAGGCTATGACGACCCCTGCCCCTAGACCATTCACGGTGGAGGATCCATCCGTGAAAACGGTCCAAACTTTCTTTCCTTCGTCAAGCGTATCTTGATAAGAACACTCGGCTAGGAAATCTGCTAAAGCTTGCGCCTTGATAGCTGCCCTCGGCTGGTAATTGATACTGAACTCGGTGAGCTCGAAAGGCCACTTCGCTAGTCTACCAGATTTTTGCACTTTGCCGAGGACTTTTTTTAACAGCTGATCAGTCAGGACCACTATTTGATGGAAGTCAAAGTAGGGCCTTAACTTCCAAGCGGCTACCACTACTACGTATGAAACTTTTTCGAGTAGGGGGTAGCGTGTCTCGGCATCTGTTAGAGTGTGGCTGAAAAAATAGATCGGCTGTTGAACTTTTTTCTTCTTCCCTTAGCAACACCGCACTTACTGTGGCCGGACTAACCGTCACATATAAGTATAGAGTTTCTCCTTCAGTTGGTCTTGCCAGTGTTGGGAGTTGAGCCAAGTGCTCACGAAGTTGCTGAAAGGCTTGCCTTTGCTCGTCTTCCCAGATGAGCTCTTTTGATTTTGGGAGTTTGAGCGCTTTGAAGAAAAGTAGCCCTTTGTCCAAGGCTTTAGAGATTAACCTGGACAGGGCAGCCATCCTGCCAGTCAAGCGTTGAACATCCCTTTTTGTCTTCGGCTCGGGAAGGTCAAGAGCAGCTTGTACTTTGGAAGGATTAGCATCAATCCCCCTTTTACTGACCATGAAGCCGAGGAACTTGCCTGACTTCACGCCGAAGACACACTTCTTTGGGTTTAGTTTCATTTGATGCTTGCGAAGGGTAACGAAGGTTTCGGCCAGGTTCGTAACATGGTCCTTTTCTTCCGTGCTTTTGACGATAGAATCGTCAACATAGGCTTCCATATTACGGCCTTTTTGCTCGGCGAATACCTGATCAACCAGCCTTTGATATGTTGCCCCCGTATTTTTCAATCCGAAGGGCATCATTTTATAATTGTACACGCCAGAACTCGTAACGAATGTCGTTTTTGCTCGGTCATCGGGGTGCATGAAGATTTGATGGTACCCAGAAAATGCGTCCATGAAGCTAAGTAGGGCATGGCCACTTGTCAAGTCGACTAGCTGATCGATCCTCGGCAAGGGATAGAAGTCTTTCGAACATACCTTATTTAGATCCATGAAGTCAACGCACATTCTCCGGCTGTCATTTGCAATCTGAACTATCACCACATTAGCCAGCCATTGCGGATATTGACAAGGTTCCATGAACCCTGCATCCAAGAGCTTTTTGACTTCGGCTGCAATGTCTTGGATCTTTTGGGCGGAGTAGTTTCGCTTTTTCTACTTAATGGGCCGACATGCCGGGTCGACATTGAGCCTGTGAGAGATGAGGTTCGAATCGATCCCGGGCATTTCTGATGCCAAGAATGCGAACACATCCTGGTTGTCTCGAAGGAGTTGGATTAGCTCAGCACGAACGTCTGGTTCAAGTCCCAATCCGATGCTGACACGTCTTTCAGAATTTCCTTCGGCTAACTCTATTGACTCTGTCTGGTTATCCATTTCCATAGCTTTGGCACTGGACTCTTCGGATTCAGGCTTGCTGTCACTATCAGCAGGCTTCCCAGACTCTGGCTGCTCTTCTGAGTCTTTCGCCCCAGACGAAGAACTACCCCTTTCCTCCCCCAAAGATTTTTCTTTTGCTAGGGTTCCCTGGGCCGAAGCACTTAAGCCTTTAGGATTTTTCGTGCAACGGTCCCGTTCTTTTTCCTCCTCATTATCCTGGTCGTCGCGACGACCCTTTGATGGCTTGAGGTGGTTGCATCTTCGGGCTTCATTTTGGCTGCCCTTTATTTTTTCGGAGTGTCCCTCGTCCGAAACATATATCATCGTTTGATGGTACGTCGAGGAAACTCCTTGAATGTCGTGAATGAGGGGTCTCCCTATGATCACGTTATACACAAAGGGGGCATCCACGACCAGGAATTCAGCCATGATGCTCCGCACTGCTCGGCCTTTGCCGATGGTGATAGGAAGAAGGATCTTCCCATCTAGATATGATGAAGAGCCATGGAATCCAGATACCGGATAGGTTACCAGAGTTAAGTGCTTGGCCTCCATCTTCAGCTGGTCAAATGCTCCCCGAAAGAGGATATTTACCCCGCTGCCGCCGTCGACAAGGGTTCGCCAAACGTTGCGGTTTGAAATGCCTATTACGATCACTAATGGGTCATCATGAGGGTACACCACTCCGTCACAGTCTTCGGCTGTGAACAGCACGTTCGACATTGGTGACTGAGGTGATCGAAGCTCGGCATGATTTATTGGATGGGCTAGACCCCTCAAATGGCGTTTCACTGCGCTCTGAGAGGTTCCTCCGGTAATGGCAAGAATGTCAAGGGTGTCCTTGTCTTGTTGCTTGTCTTTTTTTCGGAGAAAGTCCAGATCTTGCTGAGAATCTTTCTCAGCTTTTTTCTCCTCGCGGCGATCCGCGAGGTATTTCTTCAGATAGCCTTTCCGAACCAGATCTTCAATCTGGTCCTTCAGTTGGAGGCAGTCCTCGGTGTGATGTCCAGGGGACTCGTGGAACTCGCACCATCTGTCCTTGCCCTTTTGCTGATGCCACGGTGGCAGCGACCGAGGCTTCTTGAATCTCCCCTCATCTTTGGTCGTGCTGTAAATTTTAGCACGAGGGCCAGAAGAGTAAGGGGAGTTTAAGAATCATATCTCCCCACATAGGGGGCGATCTTTTTCTTCTTCGGCTCGACAGCCGAGGACGGTTCTGAGGCCTTGGCCTTCCCTTTCCTTGTTGTCGGGCCCTCGGACAGTTGTCCTTTAGCTTTCCCAGCCCCTGATTGGGACTAAGATTTCGTCTTGTTCCATTCTTCGGCTCGGATAAATTTATCCGAGGCATCCAAAGCTTCCTCCAAGGTCTGCGGGGGATGCATGACCATGAAGTCAAGGAACTTCCCAGCTTGCAGACCATCCCGCAGTGCAAATACGGCAAGACTTGATCCAGACTTGCAATTCTAGACGACTCGTTGCTGAAGCGAGTCAGATAATCGCGGAGGCTTTCATCCTCGGCTTGCTGCAGACTCATCAGTTCTGCAGTTGTCTTTCCTCTGCGGTTAGCCGTAGAAAACTTGCTCTTGAATTTGTTGGAAAGGTCTTTCCAACCAGATATAGAGCCTTCTTTCACCCCCTTGGTGATCCACGATTGTGCAACACCTTTGAGGGTTGTTGGAAAATACTTGCACCAGGTAGCCTCGGACCTGGGGTTGAGATACATGTGCCCCTCGTAAGAGGCAATGCGATCCATTAGGTCTGAGGTACCATTGTAAGTAATGTGCGCCAGTATTTTCACCGTTGGGACATGTTCTTTTAGTATCCAATTTTGGACGGGCGAGCTTGTAGGGACCATTACGGCCTTCCCCCTTTGCTTGGCCGAAGGAACCTCGCTCCTCCTTCTCAGAGAGGTGGAAGTGGTTTTCGTCCCTGCCTGAGACAATTCGGGATATGGCCCGGTTCCTTCTGGGAAGGTGAGTCGGCTACGCACGTCCACCTCCCTCGAGCCTAAGCGTTCATGAACACTTCGGCGAGCAGACTCCTTGTATGTAGAGGTAGTATTGCTTCTCCGGAAACTCATCGAGTCCCGAGTTTCGGAGTGCTGAAAGAAGTGAGGGTTATTCTTCCTTTCCTTATCGGTGTTCCATGTGTCCTCTTGCCATTTCCCCCCGAGCTCCTTGTAGGGTGGAACTTGTCCAGTCTCCCCTTGACCAATTCTCCTTCTTAGGTGTCTAGGCTGAAGAGGTGAAGACTCGTGAGGTGCTAATGGGAGTTGACCCCCTTGGGCCTTAAGGAATTCCATGCAAACCGCCACGGCCCTAGCCACTTCCTCCATAAAGGGCCTCGAAAGAGGGGTTTCTTTCGGCTGGGACCGAGAGTGCAGACTGTTTGGTGGAGGACTCCTCGCATTCGACCCACTCGGCCTGAGTGAAATCGTTGGCTGGCGAGTGTGGTGTGAGGAGGAGTCTCCTGAAGCCTCCCTTTCTTGAGAATTGGGAGCTTTCGAGGAAGAAGAAGATGGTTCAGGGGACGGTGAAATTGGTTGATTTTCCCTCACCGTGATCATGTCCCTATCCTTCCGTAAGGGGGTAAAACCACCCTTCTTTCTAGCACTTTTGGTGCTTTTGCCACTCTTAGTCATGTTTTTCGCTAGGGGTGATTGATTTATGACTTGATTTTTTGTATCCTCCCCACAGACGGCGCCAAATTGTTTCGGATGAAAACAATGGGGTCTTCAGCAGGCTTTTTTCGAGGGGGAAGACTAGTCTCGGTCCAAGTGACAGCTGGGCCGAGGGTTTCCTGCACAGCAAACACACGTAAAACTGTCGTCGGGGGTTGTGCCGAGGAAGACCCCTCCGATGCTGAAGTCAGTACAGTGTATAAAAGAGAGAGAATGAGCTATGCAAGAGATTTTAGTGCTTGAGGCTGATTGTGAATGAATGTGAAATGAGGTGGATGTTAGCTTTTATACCTTTGCTCAATTAAAGGACTTGAGCCCTTGGAGTAAAGTGAGCTTGCCACTTTGACCGGACCATTGACTGACTTGGCATTGGGCTGGAGAGTTGAATTATATCATTTGTGGACCAGACCCAATTGAGGATTAACTGGACTCAAACAGGCAAACAATAGTTATCCAAAGTTTTCATAGGAGAAATCAGAAAATTCATGATTCATGATTTGAGGAATGATAGGAGAATGAGAATAACAAAGAAACATAAAATCAGTTGAATATGATTCTTCAAATTTGAGTCTTTTTTACCACAGTTTTGGCTGACCAATAAGGCAATAACCACAAACGTGGGGCCAATAATAGAAGATGAACCAAACAATCAGTCAGCTTTCTTTCTTTCCTTGTAAGAGATTTGCTTCGAGGCATCTCTCAACTTCTTTGGTGGACCCATTTTTTTATACTTCTATTAACCTTTAACAAAAATTCATGATTCTCACTCTCTACTTTTTTTTGTGGGTTTTGTGTTCTTCGTACTATCAAAGCCTAGCTTTTTAAATGATTCTCTTCTATCAGTTTTTTCTTCATTTCAAGCTCTTCTGTACAATTACATGGTATGTTCATATTCTTTCAGCTTTATGAAATTTTTTTGATTAGAATTGGATTTGCAATTTCATGCCTAATTTTATAGTCCATTTTGTTATGGTGATTTTTTTTTTTTAAGCACTTGTTATGGTGATTATTATGCTGTGAATTTGCTTATACTCCATGATTTTGCTTGAATTTAGGTGGTGAGCAATTTTACTGAATTTGCTGCACTGAAATAAGAAATTAGAATGTAGAAATGAGAATTGGGTGAGAAAATTGGATAGTTTGTGTGTGTCTTAAGGCTAAATTAAATTGGGTTTTACTCAAATTTGAATTGTTCTTTTGATAATTGAAGGATTATAATTGAAATGGATTTGTTCAGTTGATTTTTGAAGAAATAATTGAAATGGGTTTAATTCAAAGTGTAATCTTTGTTTGTTCATTTGGTAATTGAAGGCTAATTTGAAATGGGTTTAACTCAAGTTTGAATTTTTTGTTCTTCTGAATATTGATGGATTATTTATTGAGATGGGTTTTATGGGTTTTATAAAACTTACATTTGATAATTGAAGGAGTAAATGAAATGGGTTTTGTTCAGATTAGTTTTTTTTGTTTGTTCATTTGTTATTTGAAGGTTAACTTAAATGGGTTTTCCTCACATTTGAATTTTTTTGTTCATTTGGAAGAATAATTGGGGTTCTTTTCTTGAATTCCATTATTTTTTTTTGTTGATTTTGGGTAGCAAGGAACTAATTGAGTAACTATACTCTGATTGTGTAGGTTGTGTTAATTGAAAAGGCTTGTAGAAGAAAGAAGAGTTGCAGTGAAAGATGTCTTCGAGGTCAACTCAAAGGACAAGTAAGATGTCTTCAAGGTCAACTCAAAGGACAAGTTCTAGGGGTAGTTCGGCTCGTTCGAGGCATGATGCCCGGGTAATGGCTCAAACCCCCGTTGATGCCAAGCTTGCTTTGGATTTTGATGAGTCGAAGCGCCACTTTGATTATTCATCCTCAGTTGATGTCAATTTGTCAAATTCTACTAGCAATATCTCTCCTTCAACAGTTTCATCCTACCTTCAAAAGATCCAAAGAGGGAGTCTTGTCCAGTCTTTCGGGTGTCTGATTGCCATTGATGAGCAGGACTTCCGTATCCTTGCGTACAGTAAAAATGCCCCTGAGGTGTTGGAGTTGAATCCAACTGCTGTCCCCAACTTCCAACAACGTGAGGTTCTAAATCTTGGAGCTGATATAAGAACACTTTTTAAAGAATCAAGTGCTTCTTCACTGCAAAAAGCTGTACATCTTCCTGAGGTTAATCTTCTCAATCCCTTGCTTGTTCATTGTAAAAACTCGCATAGGCCTTTTTATGCCATTCTGCATAGAATTGATGTGGGGTTGGTCATAGACTTGGAGCCAGTAAATGCTGATGATACAGATGTAACAACTGCAGGAGCTTTAAAGTCTTATAAGCTTGCAGCTAAAGGGATTTCAAGATTACAATCATTGCCCAGCCAAAATATTCAACTTTTGTGTGATGTTTTAGTTAATGAAGTGAAGGAATTAACGGGTTATGATCGGGTTATGGTGTATAAATTTCATGACGATGAGCATGGGGAAGTGATTGCTGAGTATAGTAGGCCTGAATTGGAACCTTATCTTGGCTTGCATTATCCGGCAACAGATATACCTCAAGCTTCGAGATTTTTGTTTTTGAGAAACAAGGTGAGGATGATATGTGATTGTCTTGCTTCTCCCGTGAAGGTGATTCAAGATGAAAAATTGAGTCAACCTCTGAGTCTTGGTGGATCAACTTTAAGATCACCCCATGGTTGTCATGCACAATATATGGCAAATATGGGTACCATTGCATCTCTTGTAATGGCTGTGACAATTAATGAGGAAGATGATGAGGTTAATGATGGACAGAGAGGAAGAAAGCTATGGGGTTTGGTTGTGTGTCATCACTCAAGATCCAGATTTGTTTCATTTCCTCGAAGATCTGCATGTGAGCTTTTAGTTCAGGTCTTTGGCATACAAATAAACAAGGAAGTTGGTTTGGCTGCTCAAATGAGGGAAAAACACATTTTGAAAATTCAGACTGTTCTTTGTGATATGCTCATGAGAGACTCCCCTGTAGCCATTGTTACCCAATCACCTAATGTAATGGACCTGATTAAGTGCGATGGAGCTGCACTCATCTTTAAGAGCAAAGTATGGCTCCTTGGTATCACTCCAACTGAGGAACAGCTTAGAGATATAGATCAGTGGCTTGTTGATCACCATGGCCCCACTAAAGGATTCAGTACTGACAGCCTAAAAGAAGCTGGTTATCCTAATGCTTCACAACTTGGGGATGCAGTCTGTGGGATGGTTTCAGTTAGGATAACTTCACAAGATATCCTGTTTTGGTTTAGATCCCATACAGCGAAAGAAATAAAATGGGGTGGTGCAAAACATGACCCTGTGGACACCGATGATAGAAGAAAGATGCATCCAAGATCATCATTTAATGCCTTCTTAGAGGTAGTCAAGTGGAGAAGTCTACCTTGGGAAGACATGGAAATGGATGCTATCCATTCATTACAGCTCATATTACGAAGAGTATTGAAGGATAATGCTACAATTACAGATGATTCAAAAACCACTACAAACAATTCAAAAATGATTGTGAATGTGCCTGGAGTTGATAACTCATTAGTGAATCAACTCCAAACCGTGACTGGTGAAATGATTCGTCTCATTGAAACAGCTGCTGTTCCGATTTTCTCTGTGGACGTGTCTGGTGTCATTAATGGATGGAATGTCAGAATGGCTGAAATAACTGGTTTACTTATAGAGAAAGCAGTTGGCTTACATTTAGTTGATGTTGTTGCTGATGAAACAGTTGGAACAATTAAAAATGTTCTCTCCTTGGCTGTACAAGGTAGTCAGTCTATTATACTCTAATTTGGTTTCCCTTCTTCCAGCTATTTTACCACACTTAACAGTAAGCATCTTTTTATAAAAGATGGATGATGTTATTTTTCAATTATTCATCACATTGATGTTTGGCTACTCATATGCATAACAATTATAATTTTCATACTTAATTCATTTTCTCTAGGCTGAACATGATAGTGTAATGTTTAATGTAGCTGCAAATTACCTCACCGTTGTTGATTTTTATATTGATGTTGATTTGATAAAAGTAAAATGGAAGTTAAACCTGACATCACGTGATAGGAATTTTCTGCTCCCCCCCCCCCTCCTCCTAATGTCTTCTCTTTCAGGAGAAATGAAAGGTATGTGAAAATCCTGACAAGTGATCATAGTGTATACATGTGCTTTGAGTAAGATTGTGTGAGATCATATTTGTTCGTATTCATCAATTAACTTTGCTCTTTATCCTTACTATTATTTTTCTCTGCTGTTCTCCATGAAAATTTGAATTGGCAGGCATAGAAGAGAAAGATGTTGAAGTAAGATTAAGAACCTTTGGTTCCCTGGAAAAGGATAACCCTGTGGTTTCAGTAAATGCATGTTGTAGTCGGGATGTGGATGAAAATGTTACAGGAATTTGCTTTATCGGGCAAGACGTTACTTTACAGAAAGTCATTATGGAAAAATATACTCAACTGCAGGGTGATTATACTGGAATTGTGAGGAACCCTAATCATCTTATTCCTCCAATATTTATGATGGATGAGCAAGGTCTATGCTTGGAGTGGAATGATGCAATGGAAAAACTATCTGGTTTTGGGAAAGAGGAAACCATTGGTCGGATGCTTCTTGGGGAGGTGTTCACTACTGAAAGTAACGGTTGCCTGGTCAAAGATCATGACACCTTGACCAAGCTCAGGATACTACTAAATAAAATAATCGGAGGTGAGGATGCAGATAAAGTGTGTTTTATGTTCTTGGATCGGCATGGTAAATGTGTTGATACATTGCTCTCTGCAAGTCCACGAACTGATGCTGAAGGAAAGGTCACCGGAGTTTTGTGTTTTCTCCATTTACCAAGTCCAGAACTTCAATATACCATGCATTTGCAGAGGATTTCGAAAAAGGCTGCTGAGAATACCCTAAATAAGTTAGCATATTTTCGAGAGCAAATCAGAAATCCAATACAAGGGATGCTATTTACACGCAATTTGGTAGAATCATCTGAGTTGAATGGAGGGCAAAAGCAGTTGATGGTGACAAGGACATTGTGTGAAGATCAGTTAATGAAGATAGCTGAGGACACTGATATCCCAAGTATTGAGGAAGGGTAAGATAATAAATTTAGAATTTGGAGTCTTTCCTCATCATTATCTTCCTTTTTCTGCTTCCTTCATTTGAAAATTCAAGGTGTTTGTCTGAGCTAAAATTATCACTTCTCCGACAACTTAAAGTTGTTTATTCTGTTTTGAATTTTCTATCAATATCTTAAACTACAAATCGAGTTTTGATTGTTGCTTGCAGTTACATGGAAACCATAACTGCTAAATTCAATCTTAGGGATGCTCTTGAGGCTGTCATGAGTCAGGTAATGCCCTTTAGCCAGGAAAGCCAGGTGCAGCTCATGCGTAATTCACCTTCTGGTCTATCTTCTATGTATCTGGATGGAGACAATTTGAGGCTACAGCAAGTCCTTTCAGATTTTTTGGCAGTTGCTATCCGTTTTACCCCTGCATGCAGTGGATCCTCTGTTATGTTCATGGTAAATCCTAGAAGGGAATCTCTAGGAAAAAAGATGCAACTTCTTCGTGTTGAATTTAGGTAATTACCAGATGGAAATTTGATGTTATGATCAATTAAATCTAAAATAAGAAGAAAATACACTGCAAGTGCTACTGTCATCCATTACTGATAAAATTATGAATACTGGCGAGTCTTTGCAGGATTATACATCCATCCCCAGGGGTCCCAGAAGATCTGATCCAAGAGATGTTCCACCGCAACACAGGCATGTCAAGAGAAGGACTGAGCTTGTACATTAGCCACAAGCTTGTCAGAATCATGAATGGCACTCTGCAATATCTTAGGGGAGAAGGTCACTCATCTTTCATCATTCACCTGGAATTTCCGCTTATCCAAGATATTGGCCACAAGTGAAGTTACTTTAAACTTCTTAAGCAAAGCAGCTGTCAAAACTTGGAAGAAATCTTATTCCAAGAGGGCAGTTCAAGAACTGATCTCTGTAGCCTTGCACCAGTTTTCAGATAATGAGCAGGAGGGGCCTTTGATGAGTTATTCTTTTTAAGAATTCTGCGAGCCATTGTTTGCGTTTCAATTTACTGGGGAAAGGGCTTTCACACCGTTCAGTGTTCCATTTTGTGGTTCAAGCCCTCATGAACATTCTGAACTTATGGTGTTATAGGAAGCTGTAGGCTGTAGCTGAAAGGGATATTTTAGGACTTTGAAAATGGTGGTTATTGGTCAGAATAATGACTTCCAAATGAGTTCGGTAGGGAGGCAATATGTATTTTATGAGCTGCTATGTGCAGATTAATTTCGATGTTTCTCTACAGGGTGAAGCTGAGTAAAATAAAACAGATTTGTAAATATGCTGATCTGTCACTTCTGTTCTGTTGTAATTAGTGAAGTAGCTAAATCAGGTAGGCGGATTTGTGCGAAAGAGGGCTCCTGGGTACTCTCTTCTAGGATATAGTCTTCAGATTGTAGTTCGATACCAGTAGCTCTAGCTAGAATATGAGAAAGTCTGATGAATAGAGGACAGAATATCTCAAGGTTCATAGAAGAGTCAATTTGTATATGCAGTATCCATCTAATTGACATTAATCCACTGCTTGACATGCGTGTGTATGACTATGCTCAAACATTCCAACTATGTTAGTCTCTCAAGTGTTTTCCGGAAAGTCTTCTTTATAGAATCAATGGCCAAAGTAACTCTATCTCATCTACCTCTTTCCAAATCAACTGCAACATCAAAGAGAAAGGAGGGGAATGGAATCAATGGATTTTCTGTTTTACACAGTACTTCTGGCATTTTCATCTACTGTCATATGTAAGTCTCTACTGCAATTCCTTTATGCTTCTTTTTTCTTTCTTGCATATTTATCTGTGAAATCGAGTACGTAAAACCATTTGAAAAGGAAAGTGTGAATTCGCACGGTAAAGATTCACATGTCTGATGTACTGTAAATGCCCCGCTTTATGGATATTGTGAGAAAGTAGCTTTTCTCTTGCTTTATGTTGTGATAAAAGAATCACCTTTGTATACTGCTTACTGTAGTTTTTCTCAGGGCCATATTTCATCAAAGTTTGTACAGATGCGAAAAGCAGGTCCCCTACATTCCGACTTGCAAAGCCAGATTATGAGCTTCCTAGGTATGTTTCCTACTGTAATAGATACATCTTACAAAGTCATCGAAGATATTATATCAGTGTTGACCCTCTGGAGTTATGACTTGCAAGATTTTTACAATTGAAGTTTGTCCCATGTATACCTCATCCTGATTCCAAATAATTACTTTCTTTGTTTGACAACAGTAGTCTCATGTACTGGTTTTTGATGTCTGGAAAAATCTGGTGCATCCGTGCATGGGTGATGCCCTGAGTAACTTTGTAAAATATAATTAAATTTTTGAATAAGTGAACAGAATTGTTAACTAGGAAGTAGCTTGTCCTGTGAATAGCACAACTCCGATTGTGTCATCTCTTATAAGGAACGTGAATAAATAGTTAGCTATGAAGTTTAACACAGGCATTCTGCATTTCTTTTTCCCAGGTTAAAAAGAAGGAGAAAATCCAAGTTTCTCTCTAAGATAAATCTGTAAATATATCTCCTCTCACAATATAATCTTTTCCTTTTATTAAATAATAAAAGTGAAATTGTAAAGTTACACAGCAATAAATGCATAAAGTTGTGAGAGGAGATAAATTGAAATGTTAATCTCCTGTGCTTCCTCGAAAAGAAGTGTGAATTGCATTATAGATAGTCAGAATTACTGTTTGTTTTGGCTTTTGGAATTTGGATACGGTGAGAAAGTGGCTTTACTTTTTGTTTTATGAAAGTGATGAGAAAATCACTTTGAATGCTTTTTGAAGTTTATCTCAGGGCCATATATTTTGCTTCGTACTCCTTATTAAAGTAATTGATCATGCTAGAAGAGAATGTCCCTTTAATAATTCAGGCTTGCAAAGCCATATAATAAAGAGCTTCATGGATACAATTCCTACTGTATATAATGTGGAGTAAATGTATCTTGCTAAATGGGGTATTTGGTTAGCGTAGTTTTGAAATGAGGTACGACATTAGAATGGGTGAAATCCATAGTTCCATACCTATTCTTTGTTTTTGAAAATTTTAATTTCTAAACTCAAACCTCAATCCCACAATGTATAGGGTTTAAAATTCTAATGAGCCCTAAGGAAGTTGATATGGCTCTCAAGTCAATATCTTTGAGTATTTCAAATAAAATTAAACACATTATATTAAGAATGGTGTTTAAGTACAGGTACGGTAGTGTCCTAGTGTGTTTGTGCTTTGTAACGGTTACATTATTATATAGATACGTTTTGCGAACCAAAGCGAAATTAATAGCAACTTTGTTATAGCACATACATCAAACTTCACTTTATTTACTATCGGACTACACCAATATCTCTCATACACAATATAAGAGATACAAATAGGTGGATAACTTGCCATTTGCCAAGTGTGGCACTAAACAAACTTCAAACGAAAAGCATAATAATTAACTATAACACCCTCACAACATTGATACTAGATACATTTACAATTGTCTAAGATTGATTCAAACTCGAACTTTTAACCCTCAAGAGGATTCATAACTTGTCCAGTGAATAACACAGCTCCGGTTACGTCATCTCTTATAAGGAACATAAATGAATAGTTAGCTACGAAATTTAACATGGGCATTCTGCAACACTTAAATAGAGCTCTAGAAGAAGCAGTAGATTCAGTCCCTTCCTCGTCGATCTCAATAAAGGATTTCTGAAAAATGTCTGAAATGTAAAGTGTTTGAGCCACGGCTGATGAGTTTGCCATTTTCAGTAAGGCCATCCTCCTTAAAGGGCAATTCAACTCCCAAACCCTTTAAAACATTTGAAGCCTCAAATCCAAACGAACAGTTGGACTTAGGAATCTTAAATTCAACTGCTTGAACTTTTTGAGCTAATAATGGAAGAAGTTTATGTAGAAAACCAGGTTCCGAGTTTAGTTTCTGCATCAAGGCGGGAAGCCCATCTTTTTCATCTGGAAGGAAGAAATACATAGAAAATAGGCGCTTATCTTCTTCTCCTTGTTCATAAGGAAGACGAAGAACTTTAAAACCAATGAAAGCTTTGATGAACTGATCGTACTTGGTGGTCATAAAAGGAACCTTAATTGAGTTGCCATTCAAAAGATAAAAATCATCTTCCTTTGTTTGCGATGCATTAAACTTCTCCTTCCATGCCCCCTTGAAGTAAATTGTGTTTGCAAAAATGAGCTTGGTGTTGCAATCAATGGAGTTAGGAGGTAACAAATCGCTTATAAGGCCATTTAGTTTTGTTCTTAGCCCATGAATTCACATCCAAGGCCACTTCGTTGTCCTGCATACATATATGTATGAACATCATACGATTACTCGATTAGGTTGCTGTCAAAAGTTAGTGAGTACTGAGTAGCAAGTTATTGAGTTATTCAAACTTAATGGAATAAAAAATAAACTTGTAGCTTAAAATCATAGTAGGTCACAATCACAAGTTCACAACTATGAAAACTAGTGAGTAATTAAAAATATTTTGTACGCCTTCCATTCATATGATTCTCTCTATACCTCTTCCCATCATATACGTCCTCCATTTTTATTTTATTTTATTTATTTATTTATTTATTTATTTATTTATTTATTTATTTATTTATAAGTTTGCAATAACAATTTATATAGAAATTTGATGAACATTAAAATCAACTTTAAAACAAACAAAAATAATTAAAACAAAACTTTGGTCAAGTGATAGAAGTAGATATACGTTGTTGCAAAAATCCACTTGATTAGAAGTAGCTTTGTAAACATGATCAAGTAGTTGTTTGAAAGTGGGGTTAAGAGGAAGTGTTTGATCAACCCAAACACCATTAGCATAGCTCAACTTAGGCCCACCAGCGGCGCTGCCATCAGCAAAGACGAGTGATAGAAGCTCTGCACAAAGTTTGTTGAGTTCATCAGAGGAACTAGCCTTAAGAAACGTAAGAAGTTGGTCACGAGTTGAGCCGGATGATCCGGCAGCGATCACTCTAAGTATGACATGAAGTGAGAGTGGTGAGATAACCAAGTTCTTGTCCTTATTTGTAAGAAGTTTCGTAGCCCACCATGCTTCGCAATATTAATAAAATAAAGTTACATAAGATTCTCATCTTGACTCAGCAAGCTATTCCCCACCCTTGCTTTTTAAAAAGATACAGTAACAATTAATAAAACGTGGATACAATAAAAGTTGATTGCATGATTGATGTTGTGGGGCTCAATCTTTCGTCATTTAATCCATCATTATTTCTTGTAGTTCACCTTCACTATCTTTACTGTCCTTATAAAGATTTCAAACAAATGTTCTTTCCCTTCTGAAGATAGGAATTTTCAAGCTTCAACTTCTTCGATTTATTCAGAACAGACTCACCATTTTCAATTCCTTCGTGTAGACAGTCATTCAACCATTCAGGGGCTACTATACTTGTATTCCCAACATGAATGATTACTGGTGGTTCTTGTAAGATACTGAGCTATATAGAAAAATCAATATGCTCTAGCCTGGATCATTTACTTTACTTTGTGGAACACAAATAGGGTCTTTGATCTTTAGATAAATTTTTTCGAACATTATTATTAAGTAATGTGGCTGGGGCCTGGGGGTTTGATATATCCATAACGTACTACTTCTATGTTAGCACACGTCACTCGGACTTGATCACGTCTTTCTTTGTATCGAGCTGATATGTCTGTAGGTTGAGATACAGTAAAATCAGAAAATAAAAGGATTGAAATGTGGGTTGAATTCGATTAATGTATGTATAACGTTGTGACATGTTAGAAATATTGTCTTAGAAGTAAAATTTGTCCCGACTATGGTGCAATCGGAGATGGCGTTGCCCCCAAGATTTAACACAACGACCTCTCTTAATTTGCACTCAAAAAGAGAGATTAGAAACTCACAATATGCTCACAACTAATTAAGAGAGAAAACTGGAATAATAGAGGAAGAATAAGAAAATGTTTATGTGTGTTTCATAAAAAGCCACGAAAAGATTAGTTTATAAAGATAAAGAAAACCGTAACTGTTGGAGAGAATCAAGCCACGAAATAATAGTGGGGAGAAAAATCAGCGACAGTTACAAACGTTGTTGTGGGCTTCGTAACTAAACAATCTCATAAAAGCTGGAACGTTAGTTACGATTTGGCCCAAAAAACACACCACACCACACCACGTGCCACAAACCGACCAGACGGCAGCGGTGCGCGTGTGGGGATGCCCCTTTCTAGCCCACAACAATAGGGAAAGCACTTCAAACATTAAAGTATAAACACACGTATTTAAACCAAGTAAAACTTACTTCTCCAACCAACAAACAAAACCCTTTTCTTCCAATAATAAATCAAGTGAAGCCTTTCTTATTCCACCAATGTGGGATAAAGAGTTTTCCTCAAAAACAAATAAATTACTTCCTTATCATTATTTTCAACGATGTCCATTTTCTATAAGAGCTGGAATTTTTTTTATTTGGACTTGTATCACAATACCATTGGTGAAGAAAGTCCCACCACCCAATATCTTCTTAATAAATAAATGCCACATACAAGATTGTAACTATATTTTTTTGGTCATTAATCATTTTTTAATTTCAATCTACTACTTGACAAAGTTATTATTGTTCCTCTTCGACTGTTCTAGCTTTTATACAATATACCATAACATAACAGGATTGGATAAAATTCTTATATGCCTTAAAATATAGCTTTTTTTAAAGGACATACATTATTAATGGTGAAGAAGCTAAGCATTAATAGCAATTACAAACGTATATACAATATATGATGAGTCAGTTAGGTATGGATAATGATCATGCACGCACAAATGCACATTAGTTATATATGTAATTCTCTGGTATTGACATAAATACTTCATTAAATTAATACTGGCCAAAGTGACACTAATCAAACCAAAGCATGAAATGTTATTGCTATATACATAATTATGGCATAGATAGGTTTATCAAACTAGGATTGATTCACACTCAAACTTGAACATTTCAATTTTCAAGAGGATTCACAACTTGTCCTGTGAATAGCACGGCTCCAGTCACGTTTTCTCTGATAAGAAACATGAATGGATGATCAGCCACAAAGTCCAATGTTTCGTAACTTCTTAAGCACAGCATTCCGAATTTTCCAGCCGTAACAGCAGCAGCTTCAGTACCTTCCTCATTGATTTCAATAAAAGATTTCTGGATAATGCTCGAAACATATAACATTTGAGCTTCAGGTGAGTCTGTCAATTCGGTGAGGCCACCCGGGCAGTTCTAGTCCTAAGCCCTTGAGAATCTTAGAAACTTCAAATCCAAACGAAATCTTGAACTTAGGAAGCTTAAAATCACCCACAATAACTTTTTCGAATGG